TTATGTATTTCATGTCAAGTACGATTTTTACACGACGAACCTATTTTTAGGAAAAGCTCCGTGTGAAAAGGTGTTTGTTTTACCTGTTTGAACCAAAACGACAGCAAAATTAAGTTAATTTTAAAATTTATTTGCAGATATTCTAATACTCAACACGTTCGAAACTCATTGAGTAATTTTACGGATGAAATATAATACACGGCGCGTTCATTTTATACATAGGAAGTGCGAGAAATGTTCTCCCACAACCTTAACTCGGGTGCAAAGGAAGTCAAAGAAAGAAGCATGGGTCTGGTCCAGTGATCCATTTACCTTGAGGACTCCAGTATCCTTGTTCGCCTCAGTGTGTACATATGTTGCGGCTGCCAGCCGAACACGGAAAACACATTAGGACTGGGTGGCAGCAAGCCTTGGGGGTAGAAGATGATGATGATGTCGGATACATAAAGGAGACGACGAGAATAACGGTGAAAGAATGACACAAAAAAGAACAAAAAAGAGAAGAGATTGGTTGGGTATGAGGGGGAGAATTTTGAACTATGGGGTAAAACTCAGATGCTGTTTGCAAATACTTAAAGATATTTTTTTAGTTGTTGGCTAAGGGGAAAGGGGTTGTTCGGAGGAATGGGGGAGGATGAGACAAAATATGCACGTATTCAGTTCTTTGTGTATGCAGAATGCATGTGGAAAGGAGTGTCTTTGCGGCAGTAGAAAGAGGAATGTCTGGCACAGTAGCGGCTTGTTAGCTGCCACATGTTGTGACTAGTTCCAGAGAACAGAGGTTCAGAGTGAACGTACACAGTACGCGGTTTGGATCGACAAAAAGGGCTTAAGAGTCGGTAAATATTTAATGAGGTATATTTAAACACTTTTTATATGCGTCTTAGAACTTTAGTAAAAGCCGACAGGCCACATTTCGCCGAAATGCATCCTCGGCAAATAAGCCTCAAACCCAAAATTCTCTGTGTATTGGTTAGTTTGCAATTCTGTTTTACATTTATGATGTATCGCGTATAGATCACGGATATCCTGGCCGCTATCTTTAGTAGTTTTCCCGCAGTCACTTCAAGGAAAGGCTCGCTATCTTTAGTAGTTTTCCCGCAGTCCCTTCAAGGAAAGGCTGTAGTGATAGTACTTAAGAATATCCCTGAACCGCGTTCTTCAGCCTCGTTCCCAGTTCACCATCCGCTAAAAGAGTTACGCAGTTGAACATCAGACATCACAACACTCAAGAATAAATTATTTCTGAGCTTCGTTGACATGTTACGAATGCACATGTTGATGGCCAGATAGCCATGGAGGGGGAGGGGCAGCGCATTAGGTGTCTTGCCGCCATTTCCCCCCTCTTTGACCTTTCCTTTTTCCCCGTCCATGTTACAGTGACGTAGCCCAGGCTTGCAGGTATTTTGCGTCCAGTGTAACATGATCCTGAAGTATGAGAGCACGATGTAACGGAAAGTGAACCAGCTCGTGAAGGTGATGCAGAGTGTATTCTAGAGCCACCACTGACTAAGACATAGGCCTAAGAGTAGATTCCCGAATCAGCACCTAGCTTCATCTAAAGTGCCTACTTTGCTCTGGGCCATATAAGAAAGGAGACACGACAATTTCGTACTTCCGCCACTATGAGTTATTGCCCCGCGAGACGACGGCTTTCCTGTGGTGGACCCAACGGCGGATGACGATTACTCACTTGTCGCTAGAGCACTCCGGAATATCGGTTCCTATGGCTCCGGCAAGCGAAGCAATAATAATCTGTTATATCTAGTCTCGTATGCAGCTCCAATGAAAGCATTCTCTAGTACTAACATCTAACACTGTATCTGAGAATGTGCGAGGTATAAAACACACAGTTGGAAAGGAGTGCTGTGTACACTAATATTCCAGAGGTGTTCTTGCCACATCACGAAGTAATGTGATCCGACATCATTCTTGCGGATTATGTAAATTTTTCACCACTGCGATCCAAGGTCATTGATGCACAAGAATGGGTGAAAAACGCGACAGACAGACGCACATGGACGGGCTCAAAATGTGATCTTAGGTCACGCAAGAGAGTCTACACAGGTGATATTGTTACTCACTCCTCAGCATTTGTGACGGTCTCCACATGAGACTCACACGCACCATCTAGCGTGGAACTGATTTGAACAGGGAGCGTTAGCCTCATCTATCCGGCTAACGATGCCTGGTTGAAGGTACATTTTATCTGATTGGGTTTGCTGTGTTTCAATGCATCGATTACCACTCAGTCACGGAAGTAAGAAGACCTTTTGTTTTTCGTTTTGCAAAGTGTTAGCCGGGCTAACACGCTCAACGTGAACGTTCAGCTTTCTGGGATACGTATCGGATAATACTACTGTGGAAACTGTTGTAATTGGATGACAATCGTGTGTGACAGGAAGTAGACTGATACAGGAATACTATAAGTTTACCATTTGATAGTCATAACATAATTATTTATGTTTATAGTTATTACATGCTGCCCAGAGCTGAGGATGTTATTAATGACCATATATTTATGAAGCATGTAATAATTACAGTAGTCTTGTTCAGAATAATAAGCATGGTTCTAACAGTGTTTTAATAACATAGTAAAACATACTTAAATTAAGTAATAAATTAAAGTCTCGCCATTTAAGAAAACTTACCATTGCCATTAATGTCAAAGTTTATATTCAAGATTTTACGTTCTAACGGTGTGTGGGGTTGGTATTGAAATAAAAACGGTGTAACGGAATGTCTAACAGCCTGTGCCCTCGTGTTGGTTTACAGCCGTTCCATTCTACCAATAAATTCTCACCTGTGCTTGATTAATTCAGTCTTAGTTGACAGCATGGCGCTTCTATGAAGATGATGGATTCTCTTTCTTTCTGCCATGCATATTTATATGAAAGGCTTACGGTGATTACAATTCATTGGCCGTCAGCAGAAATTATAAGACACTTAAAGATCTAACGTAGTAATTAATCATTGGCCCACTAAAGTTAGTTTGATGTTCTGTGTTATCATTAACCTTTCTATTACCAGGAAATTCGATACCGGAGTTAACGTTTTATAATCAGACTAACTCACGATGAATGATGAATCAGATCGTAAACAATATAATTCGGCAGTCCTGGGTTAAAATACGGACTCGGAGACCGGATATTCTGCATGAGGTTTTTCCGTGATTTTTCTAAGTCCTTCCAGGAAAATTCTGGGATAGTACTGTCAGCTAGGCCACGACGTCTCCCAACCACATTCTTCCCAATTCTTTATCGACTAATCCCTCTATCCATTCGACGCTATGCGTTTTGTGAGCTGTTGACAGCGTCGTTACATAAGGCTTAAAATACCAATAAATAGACAATGGAAATTAATACTGATTCCAAGTCAGAATTTGTCTTATTGGTTGGCAAGCCTGTTCCTGTAATCCAGAAGATATCGGTGTTATTCCTGTAATGCTGTATCAATTTTAAAATGGAAATAAGCTGCCAGTTTGGCTGCGAAATTTTACTGATGTAGGGTCCAATAACTCCAGGTTTTACAGTTATTAAGAAGCTAATAATAGTTCAGCTGGTCAAAAGAATTTTAATTACTACAACTAAACATTTCTTATGCCGAATATTTGTAAACCAGAAGTAAACTGCTTTATTTGTTTATGGCTTTTTTAAGATAACTTGGTATGCCCAGTGTTTATAAAGATACTTTATTTTGAATTCCGGAAGATTACAGTTTTATTTCTTTGATATTGTTAAACCTCAGCT